CCAAGGGTCACCACATGAACCCAACTTTACTAAGGTTATGCGATGCATGTTTTATGGCCAGTTTTTCATTTCCAACTCAATGGTGTTGGTTATAAGACCATCAGGTACGATTTAGGTCACTTTCTGGTGGAGGTCAGGTCAAGGTCAGGTCAAAAAAGGTCAAATTTCAAAGTTGATATTTTTGCATAAAATGGGTATTGATTCGATGCAGCTCGTCACGGGGAGTCTAATGGTGGTCTTTGTTTTGCGCTACAAGGTCTAGAATTGCTAAAAATTGAGTTTGAAAATTTGACGTCATCAATTTTGAACAGTTTTTTCGCTATAACTTGGCCAAAAAAAGAGGTATCGATCTCAAATTTGGTATGTAGATAGAAGGCGGTAAGGACTATCACATATATTCCGGTTTTTTCGAAATTCAAAAAACTTTTTGGATTTTTTGGCTATTATATTCAAAAAATCTATTTTTTGATTTTTGGGGGTCAAAATCCAAAAATTTCAAAAATCCGAGATAGCAGTTTTGTAGCCCTGTCCATTCTACAGCTTTTATGTTTGTATCATTTTTCTGTATTTGCAAAGCTATAGGCCTGACAGCTCTTCCCGCGAAACCCTTTTTTGGGTCGAAAACGGCAGAACATGACGTCACTCTGACGTCATTTCCGGCCAACCTATCATAGCCTTTGGAAAAAATTTTGGTCACAATGTGTAAAATTGATGTCCGGGAGGGTACTGAAAGTTTGGTGACGATCGGCGCAGTGGTTCTGGAGATATATCGAAAAGTCTGGAGGGGGGGCAAAAAATAGCCCCCCCCCACCAGGTCGCGGGATAAGGGTGCCACACCAGCTTCTGAAGGCTCCTTGTAGGCACCTAAGGGCCCCTTCCGGCCTCTAACGGCTCCACCCGCCTGTAATGGCTCCACACCAGTGTTTATGAGCGCCACACACCGGCGCCTTTGAAGGTCATACCTACCAGTGTCTCTTAAAGGAAATAGTTCGCTTTTCACATGTTTTTTTTTTTTAATGGAATAGCAGTTTCGTACTTTGTAGCTTGAGCTGAGACTAGCACAAAGATGATTGGCTCTTTGTGGCTTTTACGGCTCAACAATCACCCTAGACGAAGATATTCCATTTCTCATTCCAAAAAGAGTGCCTTTCAGAGGAATGCGCGCTTTGCAGAGGAATGCAGTCACCTCATCGTCAGCCAATCAGCATGGGTAGGTTTGAACTACACAATATGATTGGTCAACGCGTTGTAAGGTTCCGCGATAAACATAATTTTATATAGAATATAGTTCTTCCTAGATTAAAATATGGAAAATAATCCTTCATACAAAAAGGTTTTATTTTATTTTCTGATAATTATGGTCATGAAAATCATTAATCTGTAGTAAAATACAAATTTCAGGAAAATGAACAATTTCCTTCAAGGCCCTATATCGGTGGCTCTGAGGGCCCACACCGGCGCCTCTGGGGCCCACACACGTGTGCATCTCAACTCTCAAGGCTCTATAGGTGCATCTGAAGGACCCACACCGACACCTCTGAGGGCCCCACACCAGTATCTCTGAGCTCTAAATGCCCCACACCGGTGACGAGGAGTGAGGACACACCGGCGCCAGAGAACACTAACGGCTCCACAAGGCCGCTGAAGGCACCACACAAGCTCTCACTGAGCTCTAATATCCCATACCGGCCTCTGAGGGATACCGGCCTCTGAGGGTCTGAGAGGCCCGTCTATTATCCACAGTCCACACTAGTCAGAGGAGGTATAGTATCTGAGACTTCGGACTATTATTCTCAGGGGCCTCCCATGCCTAGTTTGAATAGAAGGGCCTCTCAGACCATCAGTCTCAAAGGCCATTTCTGGCCACCGTCAGTCTCAGGGCCTCCTTTGGCAACTATAGATAGAAGGGCCTCTTAGATCATCAATCCCAGGGGCTTTCTCTGGCTGGTATGAATAGAAGGGCCTCGCAGATTATTAATTTCAGGGTCGTCTCTTGGTTAGTATGAATAGGAGGGGCTCTCAGACCCTTAAGTTCATGGGCCTCCTCTGCCTTTTATGAATAGTAGGTCCTCTCAAACCACCAGTCTCAATTGCCTCCTCTGGCCAGTGTGAATAGAAGGGTCTCTCAGACCATCAGTCTCATTGGCCTTCTTCCGGCCAGTATAAATATAAGGGCCTGTTAGACCATCAATCCCAGGGGCGCCTTAGGTTAGTATAAATAGAAGAGTCTCTCAGACCATTTATCTCAGGGGGCTCCTGTGCAGCTGTGGCTAGTATAAATAAAAGGGTCTCTCTGACCATCAGTCTCAGAGGCCTCTTCTGACTATTGAGGATAGAGGGGCCTCTTCTGACTAGTGAGGGTAGGGGGATCCCAGACCACCAATGTCAGGGGCCAATTCTGACCAGTGTGGATGGAGGGGCCTCCCAGACCACCAGTCTCAGGGACATCCTCTGACTAGTGTGGATAGACGCCAGACGGGCCTCTCAGACCGCCAGTGTCAGGGGCCTCCCCAGACTAGTGTGGATATTGGGGCCTCCTCAGATCCACTAGCGCCTCTCAGGGCATCAGTTCCAGGGGCCTCCGCTGACGAGTATGGATAGAGGGCCTCCTTGGATCAACAAGGGTCCCTTGGACTCTGTGCGTGGGGATTCGTGGAACTTATTTTTACCGAGTTTGTTTATTCTGGAAGGTGACCACGTCCTAGACGAGAGGGCCTCGAGTAAAAAGTGGGTGTGGGGGGGGGGGGGCAAAACACATGGTTGGCCCCCAGGGCTTCCTCTGAGATGCTAGGGGGGGGGGGGGCGTGGCCCCCGCAGTGATGCCGCTGGCCCCCCAGTGAAGCTGAAAAGAAAAATAGGTCCTCTCGGCATCACTTATCATTCTTCTAGGGACTTCATGGTGGTGCGCCGCCCCGCATGAAAACTGCGCGGCTTGAATCAGGCATCAGTACACGTTCAGAAACTGAGCCCACCTGTGCAGCCTGGTTGAGTGGCTCTAACCAATCGCTAGCCAGGATGTTGCGCCGGTAATACTTATCACTGATAGTGGTTTTCTGTGGCGTCATGAACAGCTTGAATATTACACAGCAGCTGAACATGCTTCAGGTCTAGATTTTGGCCGGATGTTTGACGCCGGGCGACGCCGTTCGAGCTGCTGGCAGCCCACACATGGTCAATTTGACGGCTCAACGGATATCGCAGCTCGAACGGCTTCACATCCGACCAGGCCACCTCATTCATCTCTTCCTTCGACTAGTGGACACGCCCTGGCCTAAGTCCAAAGGTGGTGGACTGGTTGTTTTCCCGTCAATTTCATTGTCTTTTTCAGTTTGAAGGGCAGCAAAACCAAGCTAAAGGGCGGGTAATGGTGAATCATGATGTGGGACCTCTTATTATCTGCCTTAAGGCAGATAATAAGGAAACGCAAACAGACTCAAATTCTTACCAATTGGTAAGAATTTGAGTCTGTTTGCGTTTCCCTGTCGCTATCTTGACAACTCTTCTCACCACTTGGCAAAGGGCGCCTTTTGCGATCGAGGCCGGACTGAGTCTGCCACCAAGTCCCAGTCTGTTACGCCTCAGGCAGATGTGCTGCTGGCTGCTGCTGATGTCCAGCTGCTGACAGACCAGCTCCTGGCTCATGCCACCATGCCACCAACACTTAGCCTTACTACGAAACGAGAGACTGTACTCCCTTCTCTCCACTTCCTTGAACGAGAACTATCAAATGAAACCGTTGGCGACTCGACTCTTACTCAGAGCAAGAGTCATTTCGCAAGGTCAGGTCACTGCTGAGTTGAGAGCAGATACCAGAGATATGTCTCATGGAGCTGAGCTGGCGGCCGCCGCGCCGGTGCACTCGTACTTGCGCTCGTGACATCCGTGCTGGGGGCACTCGTATGTGAACCGTGGTGGCGTTGCCTCTGTGACCCGGGGGCTACCTGGCCGGCTCGAATACGCGGCGATGGCGGGCAGGGCGCCCGAGTTCGATGCGGTCGTTGAGTGCTTCGGTGCTTATACGCGGCGGTTAAATCAGTACTTTGTGGCGCAAGATATCGGGAGTGATCAAGAAGCAAAGAAGCGGGCCGTGCTGCTTTGTGCGATCGGCGCAAAAACGTTCGGTCTGCTGGAAGATCTTATCGCTCCAGCCACTGTAAGTGAGAAAACATACGATCAGCTGGTCAGCGTTTTGCAAAGTCCGCATTCGGATAAATCTGAGCCGGATAAATCTGAAATAGTGGCCAGATTCCGGTTTCATTCGTGCTTCAGGAATGACGGTGAGACAGTTGCTAATTTTCTAGCGCGGCTTCGTAAGCTGGCTAAAGACTGTTCGTTCGCACCTAATGTCCTTAATGAAATGCTGCGTGACCGTTTGGTCTGTGGCATACGGAACGAGTTGCTGCAACCTTGCTTCTCAGTGAGCCGGGGCTGACGCTCCAGTCGGCAGAGCAGCTGGCCCAGGCACACGAGTCGGCGGCAGCGAGTGCGGCTGAGCTCAGCGGCGGTGCTGAGCAGCGAGCAGATAGAGCCTTCGTTCATCGGCTGACTGGTGCCCGGGGTCCGCTGCGGCTGCGTAGCAGTTCTAGGGGTGCCGGTGCTGCCCGCGCTCCTGCCGGCTACAGGGACGGCGGTGGCGGCGCAGCGGACTCCAGAGCTGGTGGTCGGCTGCGCTCTCAGCATGACAGGACGACGCCCGGGCCAGCACGGCGGCGAGCTGTTTCAGGTGCCTGAGGTATCATCAGCCGGACACGTGCCCGTTCATCGATAAGGTGTGATACAGCTGTGGCCTCAGGGGTCACGTCCGAGCTGCCTGCAGGAAGAACCAGCAGCACCTCCGCCATGTCTCGGCTGATGGCGACGCGTTACAAGGGTCGGACGCGCAGGAGGGTAGCAGAGAGGACGGCACTACGCAACCGAGGAGTTCTAGTCCCGGGACCGGTGAGGAGGTGTACAGCATTTTCACCGTCCGGACCGGCCTCGGTGTCAGGCGACCGCCGCTGATGGTGCCGGTAGCGCTCGACGGTCAGAAGGTCGAGATGGAGCTGGACACCGGGGCGACTCTGTCGGTCTGCTCTGACGCCGGGTTTCGGCAGCTCTGGCCCTGTGGAGGGCCGAAGCTGGAACCGTGTTCGGTGAAGCTGAAGACCTACAGCGGTGAGCAGCTGCCAGTCATGGGGCAGGCTGCAGTGAACGTTCAGTATACGGCGGACAGGCTCAGCGACTACCTCTCATCGTAGTCGAAGGTGGCGGGCCCTGGCTGTTCGGCAGGAACTGGCTGGGACACATCAGGCTCGACTGGCCCTCCATCTGTTGAGTGACTGCGGAGACCCGTGTGCAGCCCATCCTGGACGAGTTCGCTGACGTCTTCAAGGAGGAGCTGGGCTGCTATCGAGGCGGGGAAGTCGGCATCGACGTAGACCCGGACGTCCAGCCTCGTTTCTTCAAGCCTCGCACCGTACCGCTGGCCTTCAGGGAAGCTGCGGACGCCGAGCTGGAGGACCAGATCCGTGGCGGACTCTGGGAACAGGTACGGCACAGCAAATGGGTGGCTCCCTTGGTGGTTGTCCCCAAGGCTGGGGGTCAGTCAATACGGGTGTGTGGGGACTACCGCTTGACCGTCAACAGGGCTGCTAAGGCAGAGCAGTATCCCTTGCCGCGTGTGGAGGAACTGTACTCAAAACTGTCGGGATGTACCATATTTTCAAAGATCGACTTGAAAAACGCGTATAATCAGCTTCCGCTAGATGAAAAGGCCCGCGAGTATCTCACGGTAGACACCCCGAGGGGTCTTCTTCGACCCCTTCGGTTGACCTTCGCCTATTCGAGTGCAGTGTCGCTGTTCCAACTTCCAGCGGACGCTGGAAACTGTCCTGGCTGGTATCTCTGGCGTTCGGGTCTTCTTGGACGACATTGTAGTCGCGGGTGTCGATGCCGCTGCGCATGACGAGGCCCTCCGGCAGGTTCTTAGACGGCTGGAGGAAGCGGGTTTTAGGGTCAACAAGGCCAAGTGTAGCTTCGGCGTCAGCAGCGTGACCTATCTGGGGCTTAAGATAAGCAGCCGTGGTGTGGAGACCACCGACGAAAAAACGGCCACGATTGTCCGTGCCCCGGAACCGCGGGATGCTAAGGAACTGCGTAAGTGGCTAGTAATCAACTACTATGGGAAATTCCTTGAGAAACTGGCGAGTGTCTTGGCTCCGCTCTATCGTCTTCTAGAGGCAGATCAGCCCTGGCAGTGGGCTGAGGCAGAGAAGTCTGCTTTTCGGAAAGCCAAAGAGATGCTAGTTAGCCCTCCTGTACTAGCCCATTTTGATCCCGCCCTTCCGGTGGTTCTCGCCTGTGACGCGGGACCGTCGGCATTGGCTGTGTGTTGAGTCAGCGGACGTCACAGGGCGAGCGACCTGTGGCCTACTATTCGCGCACGTTGAATGACACCGAAACTAGATACTCACAGACTGATAAAGAGGCATTAGCTGTAGTGACCGGCGTTAAGAAATTTCACTATTACCTAGCGGGGCGAACTTTCACTATACAGTCAGATCATAAGCCTCTCATAGGCCTCATAGGAGAGCAGAAACCTTTGCCCGTGATGGCGTCACCTAGGATGGTCCGCTGGGCTCTGATGCTTGGGGCCTACTGAGTACCGGCAAGGATCTAAGCAAGGCCACTGTGACGCGCTTAGCAGGCTGCCTTCGTGCGAGGAGGCTTGTTCGAGCGTTCCAATTCCGGCTGAGACTGTCCATTTACTTGAGTTCATCGACTCATCCCCATTCCCCAGTGAATGTGTCCCAGATACAGCGGTAGACCGCTCTGGATCCCGTGTTGTCAGCGGTACATCGATATGTCAGAGATGGCTGGCCGGATGTCAATAGTGTTTCCCTCAGCCCTGATTTTCAGCCGTACAGGTCCCGTATAGGTGAACTGAGTGTGCAGGATGGCTGCGTTTTGTGGGGGTCACGAGTGGTGGTCCCGCCGCAGGGACGGGGTGCCATGTTAAAGTTATTACATGAAGGTCATGCTGGCGAGTGTAGAACCAAAATGTTGGCTAAAATGTATGTTTGGTGGCCAAAAATCGATGACGACATTCGTGATATCGTGAAGTGTTGTGGGAAGTGTCAGGAACTGAAGGGCAGGGCCCCTGACGCTCCACTGCATCCTTGGCAGTGGCCGACTCGACCTGGCAGCGAGTCCATGTAGACTATTGCTCGGCTAACGGATAGATGTTTCTGGTGATAGTCGACACCCACTCCAAATGGATGGACGTCTACCCAACTCGTTCCTCCGACTCACTGATCACGATTGAAAAATTACGAGCGTCGTTTGCGTGCTGGGGAGTGCCAACAGTGCTAGTGACAGACTACGCCCAGTGTTTTGTATCACAGCAATTCAAAACGTTTTGCAGTGTAAATGGGATCAGGCACTTAACGACACCCAGCCTATCACCCAAATCAAACGGCTTAGCCGAAAGAAGCGTGCAAAGCTTCAAAAACGGGCTGTACAAACAGATCTCGGGGTCCATTGAGACCAAGGTCTCTCGATTTCTGTTTAGGTACCGCACAACACCGCATACTACGACCTCATGTACGCCCGCCGAATTATTTCTGGGTCGTGTGCCACGCACTCATTTAGATGGTGTGCTACCAGATAGGCAGGAGCGTATACGGAGACAGCAGGAGGCTCAAAAGACGTACCGTGATCGAAATGCCCGTGAACGATGTCTGAACCCGGGTGACCCTGTGTATGTGCCTGCTGTCGATAGATTGCAGGGATTGGAGCGTTGTCGGTGGGCGCCCGGTCGTGTAGTGTTCGTAGAGGGAGTTAAGGTCACTGTGGAGCTAAATGACGGGAGGGTGATTGTGCGGCACGCCGACCAGGTTCGTGAGCGATATTCAGCTGTTCCGCATGTCGCTAACGATCCTCTCCGTTCCAGAGTGACACCGATACCTGCTCCTGATCCGGTCACGGAGAGCGCCGCTGCATCTGCACGGCATGCTCCCGTTCCCGGACAACTGGCCTCCACTCCCGACCGGCTGCCGGCTCCTGATCGAGCGCCTGCTCCTGGCCGGCCGCCTGTTCCGGCGCCGCCAGGGCTGACCGGAGCGGTGCCCGCGCCGGGTGTGACCACCGCCCCGCCGTCCGCACCCTCTCCCAGCGCGCCGCGGTACCGGCTGAGAGACCGGTCCACCCTGCGGCCCCCAGACCGATACGTGGCGAGCTATGAGTAGGCGTTTTGTTTCAGTTGTTATTTGTTCTGTGAGGTGCGTATTTATTTGCTTGTCCATGCTGTGCAAGTATTCGGGGTGGAGGAGTGTCATGGAGCTGAGCTGGCGGCCGCCGCGCCGGTGCACGCGTACTTGCGCTCGTGACATGCGCTCATGACACTGGTATGTGAACCGTGGTGGCGCTGCCTCTGTGACCCGGGGGCTACCTGGCCGGCTCGAATACAGTTTGGACCGAGACACCGTCTGTGATAATATGCATTCATCCAATTTTCCAGCTTCCACATTAAACAAGAAACTGTGCGAGCAGATATGGCGAAAAAAATAGATGTCCGGATAATTTCGTTACACCCTGTATGTTCTAGTGCAAACTAATGCTATGATGCTAGGGGAGCGGCTGCAGGCTGGCGTAGCGCGTGCGGCCTTACGGTGGTTGGGTGAACGTGCCACCTTCTGCTGTGGGGTGGATGGGGTGGGGGAGGTCCCCCTTGACCCCGTGCCGGCCCCGCCACCTGTGCTGCGCCATCTTTGGGCTGGCGACGGTGTGGAAGCGCGTACCTTCCGTCAGTTTTCCAGGCATCTGAAGTCTGAACTCGGCGCTGGCCCTGTCGTCGATGTCTGCGCGTGAGCCGTGACGGGTGCCACAGCCTGCTGGCACCGGCGGGTACGTGCCGTGTACATGTGATGCGGACTGCGGGACCGACTTGAACCACTCGAAGCCAACGGAGACCAGCCAACCTCATTCGCTCAGATTTATGTGAACGACCCACGAGCCGAAATACTGATGCCGAGGACCACGCACGCATTGTGGCATCACATAGAGAACACCTATTACATCCGGGAACGACTCCGATCGGCCATTTTCGGGAAATTTACCGTCCGCGGTGAATATTCCTGGGAATATGCTCTGAACGTATCAACCGAATTTGATGTTAGTGCCGGACCCGTGGACTCGGAGCTGCGTCACTAATGCCTGTTCATAAATGTAGCGCGGCGTGAGCCATCCATGGACTGCGTGTTTCTTTTTTCCAACCAAAGGTAAGCACTATACCTGAAGATGCTTCTTTGTAACCAAACCAAACAAAAACTAACAACCTAACCTAACCTAACTTGACCTAACCTACAGCCTACAAACCTACAACGCGCCAAAAATTTCAGCCGCCGGCGGGATTCGAACCTTCGGTCCTCTGAACACGGGGCGAGTGCGCTAACCAACCACTTCACCTCGCAGACAGCTGTCCGGATAAAGGTGTTGTAAGTCACTTGACAATGACGCACTGGGATATACTCCGTATAGCGCCTTCCTTTGATTGGAAAAAAAATTACTTACGCCCGTGGACTAGCCTCTTCAACTCCGTAGCATTGTCTCCCAATCTGCGGAAAGTTCAGCTGGTCGCATGATAACCGTGGCGAAGTTTTCTGGCTCTGTTTCAACGGCTCCTTCATATTCCCTTCATATCAGCATAAGCCAGATTTAGGCTAACTTGCAATTAAACGATCAAAAATGTTAGCTTAAGTTTCGTTAGGGTAAATTAAACGGTGTTTTATTTGGTTAGGCTAAGCCCGAAAAACGCGTATATATGTTGAGGTTTATTCTCACTTATTTAAATATCATATTCAAATGTATTCATCTATGTAAAAAATTAAAAATAGATTTAGAGTATTTTGTATTTATTTCATAAGCTTCATACACAAATAACCGTTACAAATGGTTCGGTTATTGACCCATCATCACTTGAACTCTTGATTTTTAGCTATGAACCCTCGAGACCTTATCTTCGCATCTCAGAGGGATGCAGAGATAACAAATTCTTATCTTTGCATCTCAGAGGAGTGCGAGATAGAAATATCCCTGCACTGTAGACCCAATGGCAAATAAACCTCAACTAGAAAGATAAAAATCTTTCTTGGGCTTTTTTGCGGCGATTCTGCTTGAGGCCATCTCGCAACTTCTTCAAAAGTGTGCAGTAGTGCTTGCTTATCATTATCCGACCATCATCAAGACAGTCGGTAATGACTATCCTACGCCAGATCCAGAACACTGATAGCATTGACCTTCCATATCGGCTTCTGCATCTTCGCCTTTTATGAAGAACAGATGTGCCGTGCTTAAACTTCTTGATCATCTTTTTGTCTCTGGATCATACACATAGACCCAGCATTCGTCACAAATCATTAAATGATCGAAGATGTCTTCAATTTCCTAAAAAAGCCTAGTTTTCATTTCGAAAGGTCAAGACGCATTTTTCTCTTGAACAAAGTAGACACACGAACTTCTAAGCGGGCTGACTCCTTTATCGTCTGTCGTTCTTCGCCGATAATATTTTCAGGCACTGCCAGCATTGAGACCTTTCTGTTGCACAATCATTTGAAAGGTCACACGACGATCTGTAAGGATGAGGTCCTCCACTTCCTTCACAGTCACCACCTTGTCAGTCACTGGTAGTCACTCACTTCTTGACTCCCCTGCAAGGGTCATGCAACCAAGTTGAAAATTATTTCTTCATTTTCGGTAAGTGCATTAGGTGGGCTTTCCTAGCTATAAACTAATTTCACGTTCTTGATGTATTTTCTCAGTGTGATACCGTTTCAAATGCATTAGTTGGATGACGGTTCGGTCCTCAATGGGCCCAATACTCATCTTTTTTACTTCTAAGTCTCTCCTACATAAGATAAAACCACTTCTCAGGATTCTCTTTGCCGGAACATTGTTCTTAAGAACCAAATATAATACCAACCAAAAATCATCAAAATCGGTCTAAATCTTCTATGTGATGATCAGAACTTTTCGATACCCCCTCGTAAGCCTCTCAAAAGCGTTACAGGCCGGGCCGGGCCGAGCCGGGCCGCTCATACTGAGATTTTTCCGTTATATTGAAAAGACTCGCTTCGCTCGCTGCGCTCGCTCGCTCGTAACTATTCTTTAGAATTGTGTTTTTCTATTGAAAAACAAATCTGAGTTCCCTGACAATTTGGCAACTGCTGTATGATCCGATCACCCATGCGCTCGTTAAGCCAGACCATCGTTGATCTCGGAAGTGTGTCCTGCTGTAGCCATTGGAGGCTGATGGTGTCCACACACTTTTTGCACACTTGTGGGAGGAGTTTTTTTTTAATTGGGCCTTTAATTTCCGCTGTGTTTGCACCACAGAGCCGGTTTGGAGGTAGAATTTTGCAACTTGAATCCTTTCCCCCTTGCTCAGTTGCCCCATTGTTCAAAATGAAAGATGTGGAGCATTAAGTGCCATGAAACTAGGTTTAACTCGCGCCCCAGTGGCGGTCTCAGCCAACTTCGCCCTGGGGGGGGGGGGGGGGGCATATGTTACCACCCACCTCTAACTAAAAAACTAAGAGGGATAGAAAGACGCGGTAAAAAGCAGTCGATAGCTCTCGATGCGTACGTTTGAAAGTATTTCGGTCATTTTTCATCTTAGAGCAATATTGGGGTCACCAGAGGTCATCAAAGGTCAAAATTTGCGAATTGTCATTGTATGTTTCAGAAAACATGCCATTATCTCAGGGGAACTATCATAGCTAGAAAAACGCTGGGAAAAGCAATCGATAGCTTTTGAACTCTTCTTTTGATAAGGTCATCATCAAAAATGACCTCAGGTCAACGGTTTAGCCTCCAGAGGGCAAAAACTCCAAGAATAACTGTTTTTACGAAAAGTGTTTTTCGACAATAACTTTTGACTAAAAAAAGCTAGGACATTTCTATTGCCAGAATCGTGTTCCTCTCGCCGAGACGCGTCGAATGAACTATAATTTGACCTTGAAAGGTCAACTTCAAAATTTGACCTCAGGTCAAGGTCATGACCTGACCGGAAAAGGTAATGTTGCATATCAGTCGATGCGTCTTGGCAAGACAAACACAATGAGGCCAACCCCAGCGTTCTATCTTTTTCCAATCGAGAGTTATTGGCAAAAAACTGTTTGTAGCCTCAAATGACCTCGGATGACCTTTCTAGAGGCTATCAGCAAAAGAGACACCTTGGTCGTCACTGGTGATCCAAATCATTGTGATTCTGAAATATTTGGACTGTTCCTATGCGTACACACGGATCTAGAGGCATTTTCGTTTTTCTCCATTGACTTATAATGGAAAGGCCACGCCACTGACCTGACCTTAGGTCACGCATATAAAAAATCCGAGATATACAAATTGTAGGCACTCATAACATCATGCAATCCACCAAGTTTAAAACCTCTCTGACAAACACTGCAGGCTGGACATGATTGCAAACTTTTTTTAGGCTTGGTCAGTTAACTTGACCTGGTGACCTGATTTGACATGACCTGGGGTCAAAATTTCACACATTGTCCAAAATTGATGTACCAAAAGCTACCACAAGCGGCGCGGCGCTACGCGCCGCGGTTTTTTATTCACACGCAAAAAACGTGACAGGGTGGTAACATATGCCCCCCCCCCCACTGGGGCGAAGGTTAATCCAGAATTGGAGGATCAAAAGCATGCGATAGCATGCTTTTGCATCCGGAAATTCCCATTGGTGGGTCGCTGAAAAAAAGTTCGGCTGAGCCTGTTTGTCAGTGAGTATGTGAGTATGTGAGTATGTGAGTTTGTCCAAGCTTTTTTGGACCTGGGGTCAAAGTGGGTGGACCGATAGGGACGAAAGTGGAACCGTTCGATTCGTCTCCGGCGAGGTAAACTTTTGGTACTGGCCTCGGCTCGCTCGGTGCTTTGTGGCACATGCTATTCCGCTTCAAAGCTTCGGTGACACGAAATTTTTTGTCAAGGCTACAGGTCAATCCGAGGTCACGGGCAAAGCCACACTGGCGGGACACATCGGTAACACCTTGAACCAGTTTCCAGGGGGGTCACCGTCTGCGAGGGGTGCAGGCTGCACGTGCTGGGGGCGGAAAACCGTTTTGACGTGAGGTCCTCTGGCTCAAAGAAATTTTGAGCTATCAACCTCAAAATCGGTTCAATGGTAGTCCCAGGCAAGGCCTCCAAAATAGTGCACATTTGGTTGAGCTAAACTCCGTGGTGCATGAGCTATGCACGTGCAAGCCGATTGCACCCCTTCGTACGTTGCCACGCCTGCAGGGTAAACGGCAGCTCTAACTGGTTCAAAACTTGCAGGTCATAAGAAGAATACATTTGATCACGACATTCCGGCGAGATAATATCCGAGGGGTGCAAGCTGCGCGTGCGGGGGGCGGATAACGGTTTTGACGAGGGATCCTCTGATCCCGGGAAACGTCGATCTAGCGACACAAAAGTCGGTACACTGATAGAACTAGACACACGCTACATGATGTTATGAAAATGACTGCACTGGGGTGCCTGGGACATGAACTATGCACGTGCAGTTAATTCATATCTTACTGTAGGTAGATCTCCACACCAATCTCGCGTGCTTTCAAGCATTTTTGGGATGTTTCGGTTGGTTTCAGGTTCAGTCCAAGCTCAGTCTGGGTTTCGG